AATCTTTTATACCATGTAAAAAATCCTTTATACTGACACCATTTATTCTTACGTTAATACAGGAATATGTGGGTTGGTATTAAACATCTTTATAACTTTGTCTGCAACGAGAAGGCTGTATCTCCTGAATACATTGCATATTTGAAACAAAGGAAATTTATTATATAGACAAATCCTTTAGTGTAAGGGTGTCTTGGTTCATATAAGAAGTAGATATTGCACTGTTTTTAATACAGCAATGTATTTCTGTCAGGAAAATTAAGTATTTATGGTGCTTTATAATTTGTATGTATTCCTTTTAAGTACTGCCTAGTGAATATTTGTAAATTGATGCCCAAACAAACAAGGCATACATCTGAATGCTTCATATTGCATTAATGTAGTAGTGGCTGTTAAATCCTACAAAATTCTTCGTATGAAGATTTGGACTTCATACACTGTAACTACAGTATTGATAACAAAACAGCATCTTTTTCTAAATGTAATGCCTCCTATTAATTACAAAATTGACCTTCAAGCACTCCTGTTAATACTAAAAAAATCAGTATGAGTTCAGAAGTTAGACTTTTCCCCCTTTGATTTGCATTAACAAAATTACCTCTGTTCCAGTTTTTAAGATGTTAAAGATGTCCCTGCTGATGTCATGGTCAGTAATACACTTCTGTTCTCAGAGGAAGTTTATTATATTGTTGCTCTTTGTGAAAGCAGAGGAGGAAAAATAGGAAGTCTCTATGTGAGTTGTTTGAGTAAAAAGATACAGATGTTTACAAATAGAAAATAAATTATTACTTTTATAGTATAATCAAACTTTAAATTCTGTGGGGATGTCACCTTCAGACAACTATGAACATACTTTACTTATGTGAGCTATATTTTCCCCAAGATATTTTTACTATTGAGGCTGTAGGTGTTAAGCATCTTCTTTCCTTTCTTTCACAGGAAATTCTGGTGGTTAAAGATCATGGCAACCATAGAGGAACTGGCCCATCAAATTTTTGAACAGCAAATGGGAGAGGTACATAAATTTTGAGTCCTATTTAAGAAACATTGAATATTAAAATATACAGACTCATATGTAAAAACCAAAATCACAAGAGAAAATAATTTTTAGTACATCCAAAGCTTCTGGAGACTCTCCCATGGAAGACTAGAAGAACTTACTATGTCCGTTTTAAAATTATGCTGCAAAGTCTTTTTTGCCAAAGTTTGCCCCACAGAAATGAAGCTAAGGAAAATCTAGCAGTGTTTCCATTAAGTGACTAGCTGTTCAACTCTGCTTTTTGGCCTCTCATGGTCTTCAGAGAGGTGTCTGGTTGTATCATTGCTTTGCTCGCTTTCAGTTACAGAATTTACAATCAAGAGTTGTCAGTACAAAAATTGTCAGCTTTTACTTTCCAATTAAGCAATTGCTTCATTTGTCATTTTTGTGTTCACCAGTAAAGGTTTGCCATGCTCTTCACTGTAAAATATTTGTTGGTATTTGGTATAAGTCAAAAGGAAAATTGAACTCTTGTTTCTGCTAACTTCTGGGTTTCACTTTCTGTAACTTGTGTGCAAAATCTGTGTACTGCAGCCAGAGAAACTTCTGGAGATGCACAGATTAATTATAGCATAGTTATTTAAAATTAGTACTGCTTTTAATTTAAAGCAGTAAGATAAAAGTAGTATCTTACTTATCTTAAATAAATGGTATTTTTTAGCTTGAAACATCCACTCTTCGTTTCTTGTGTAGACACAGACTTATTTTTCAAGTAATTTTAGTTCCTCTCACAGAAAGGTTGGGGATGGGGGGTGGGATGGTTAATTCTATTCCATATATTCTTATAGCTTTTATTGTTATAGCATCTGAGTGTTGCTAAGGCTATCTCAAAGGACTTAGGTGATTTATGTGATGTATGGTGTTTTCTTTCTGTACTCGTCCTCTTTATAAGTGAGAATGGCGTGTCTAGTGTAGTTTTGTTTTTGTAATGTAATTCCTTGTGAAAGTCTAAATAGGTCTGTATTTCCTGTTTTTTGCATTGGTTTTGTTCTGGCTTTTTGTTTGTATTTTTTAAAGTACAGGCCAGTCAAAGCTAGCTGCAGTGTCCATTTGACTCAGAAAAGAGGATGGTGTGATGATGGTGTTTAGCCTCTATGGGTTTTTTTCCTCGACTTCATAATGTGATTCCACGAGACAGCTGACTTAGTGTCTCAATGCCATGGTAAAGCGAAGGGCCTTTTTCTGTTTCTTAACCTTATTTAATTTCCACACCAGCAGCAAGCTAACCCAGCCAAAAGAAACAGAAGGTTTTCTGCTGGGTTAGTGCAGAGTTGAGTAGGGTCTGAGAAGGCTCTAATGAGTACCAGGGCCAGAGTAAAGGAGATGGCTGGTAGCCAAAGGCAGGCAGGGGAGAAGACAGAGGGAGTGGTGGTGCGACATTGCAGAGTGCTCTTAGCTATTTCTGTTCATGGTGAAACTGCAGCCTTACAGCTTTCATGGATATCATTCTGCCAGCAGTGTAGATTAGGATTTGTCTTTTAGCAAGGTTTTGCTGAGCCTGAGACTGTCACATCTTATTTGGCAGCAGTGTGGCTCAAGCATTCCCCAGTCCTCTCTTAGCCACTTATTCTCACACTTGCTAGTCTTGCTCATGTAAGCTCTCTGTGTCATTGTGTGGTTGCCAAAACTGGGAGCAAAAAAAAGATGGGATAGTGGAGGAAGGTCTTCTCCTTCCCAGTGGGGTCAGCTCCTTTATCTGGTACAAGGTGCAGCCCAACCTGGCACATGGTTAGAAGGACTGAAAAGTATCACCCAGAGCAGTGCAAGGCGGGACTCTGTAAGCCAAAATTACTGCCAAAGGAGTGGAGTGCTCATGAATGCACTGCCTGAAAGGTGGAGTCAGCCAAGAAAATTATCTTACTGGGGCCTTCATGTAATATCTTACATTCCTACCTGCCTGTGATCTACCAGCTGTAATTGCTTGGTGGTGTTCCTATTTGATGTGAGCATTGAAAAACATATTTTAAAGTCTGTGGAGCTTCAGCAGTGTTTTTGCTAGCATCTGTAATTGTCTTGAAATAGTTTTAATTGAATTTACAAGAAGAATTTACATGAGTAGAACATGGAAGGAAAAAGACAGGCGTTCCCATTCTGAGGAGAACGGGAAGTGCTTCTGAGCCTCATTGAAATAATGGTCAGAAGTGTTCTGTAACATAGGTTTTGATTTCTTTATAATATTAATTCTTCTTCATGAAGCATTTTAAAACACAAAATTATCACAAATTATTTTATTATGATGTTCACAAATGTGTTTGTGTTAATTTAGGACTTTTTTTGCATAAAAGCAGGACTTTTTAAAAAAAGAATTTATAGCCTTGCCTATGTGGAGCATTGCACAATGTTTATCTTTTCTCAAATTCTGCCAACTGCTAATCATCATTTGCTCAGTGTGAGATAATTCATATTACTACATCAAGACACATTCCTTGATTCACATAGGGAAGTTGTCAAGAGCCTGCAAGAATCTTACTTCTTTATTCTGTGGTTGGGTACACCAAGTATATGGTGGTATGTTTACACAGTCCTGCCAGGTAACAGTAACAGAGGAAAGCTAAATATTTGTCGAAATAGAGTCTGTCACACACATACAAAATATAATTTTTACAAATACTGCGGTTATTTATATCAGTATTTTTTAAACTGCAATAAAAACTGTATTCTATATAGAAGTAAAGCTGTCAAGCTGACACTTTGTGGGGTTGAAGAGCAGTTTTAGCTTATACAACATGTAGATTGTGACATTTAAGGCCTGGAATATGTAGGTTATTGTGTAAAGCAAAGATAAATTCACATAAAACTCGAATTGCCTATAAATCACTATGTGTTTATGTCATTTGAAAGACTGATGTAGAATTTTACTGCTTGAAAGTATCTCTTTCAAACTCTAAATGTTCCTGTATAATGAACATTTCTTTGTCCTTTACTTAAGCAAAGAAGGGGATGAATTGTTTGAATATGGAAAGTGTTCAACCTCGTGAAAAATCTATTTTTAGAAAGCAGTATTCCAAAATGGCTTGGGCAGTAGTTTGACAAGCATTTCTTTTGATGATGCTGGCAGCTTAAGCGATCCCCCCAGCAGCGTAATCCCACTCTCATTTGCTCTGATGCATCTGCTTCTGAGCATTGTGGAGATGGGGATTGAAGGTTTGAGTTATGCTAAGAATAGCCTTTGTTTGTCTGTCTGTTCACTGGGCTGCTTTGTAACCTGCATCAGTGTCCTATTCCAGATCACTGAATGACTAACCAACCAGTTTTACCTATCAAGCTGAAGGGATAGGAGTAAGTAGATTATAAGAGCTGAGACTGGTACCAAATGTAATGCCTTTTTGGATAAAATTTCAAAATCAGCTTAGGCTGATGCGAGCTTGTATTTTTGCTGTAAAGGGAAGTCTTTCCCACTGCTCCTTCCCCTTGTCATACTCCCCTCCAGCTGCATGTTCTTGCCTCCTTTCTTCCGCTGGTATTAGCATTTACATGGTGGTGTGGTTGCAAAATCGGGAGCGAAAAAGCTCTCAACCTGTTATGAAACAGTACCTTTACTGCGATATATATTCTCGATATTAATTCTTGGGGAGAGGATGGGACAGTTGAAGAGGAGCATTTTTATAATGGTGTAAATACTGGGAATTATTATTAAGACAGAATTGCAGGATGTTCCAGACGTTTTGAACTGTAAAATGTTTAGGGAGTTACTCAGGAATGTAAGACAAAAATTTCAGTTTGAAGGTATCTGTAAACTCTGTGAAGACAAACTTCCTTTATACTACAAATAGTCTGGCCTTCCTGATCAAGCCTCTGCAAATAGCAGCTGTACTTCTTAATTTTTATTGGCAAATAATGAATAATATCTTCTCCCATATACCTTTGGCTATAATTTGAAGAATTTTAAAATACCAGTAATCATTACAGCACTTCCACAAATTGTGTTTGAGAGCATTCACACAGATTTAAATTTGTGTTAAGATACACTGTTTGCCAGCTTCATGCATTTAATTAATTTTCTCTTAACTTTCTTGATAGTTCCCCAGTATAGAATTCTGTTGTTCTGTTTTTGCTGCTTTAACAGAAGAACAGAAAAGGTCAATTGCTGTTTCCACACCAAAAATTGTTTTGTCACTTTAAGTAAGCCATTAACGTAAAAATATTTTAGCGTGAATGTAGCAGAGCTATGATGAAAGGTATTATCTCTTATAAACATCAACAGTAATAAATATTCAATTGCCTTACATGGAGCTGTCAACAATGAATTTACTTAACATGTTTCTAAATTTCAAATCGGAAGGTATTTCAAAATGGGTATAAAACAGTGAAATAAATAGAATTTTCTAACTAGCAAAATTAAGCTATTAAATTAGATTACAAGCATTTGCATTCTGTATACTATAAGAGTGTCAGACTTTCCATAGCCTTGTGCAGAGAAATCAGAAGTTGGTGAAACCTTAAGGTTTCATCCATTAAGGTAGTGTATCCATCCTTAAGGGTAGTATATCCATTGTCAATCCATTACATTTATTTCTTCTTTCTAGATTACCCATTCCCAGGGAGCTGTTACACAAACACTAATGGATGGGATAGCACAACGAATACAGATTGTCCCTGCAGATTCAGGCCTCTCTTTACCACAACGTATACAGGTATGCTTCATCTGATATGTTTTAAAAGCAGAGATGAACTATTAATTTCTGCCAGTTTTCACATATGGTTCTTTTCTTATTTGTGTCATATTATTTGCTTGAATGTAAATATTCAGCCCTGGCTGGCATTTCTGTATAAACAGGAATAAAACATCCCCCTTTGTTTTTCTTTTTTTCTCCTAAGAATTTTAAGATTTACAAAAATACTCTAATGACTGAACAGAAAAAGACTTTTCACAATACTGTAATGATACCGCTCTTTAAAAGCTGAATAATTTTTAGGTTTGGCAATTCAACTGAGTTGTTGGAACATTTCTACATTTTTGGAGCAGGGAGGGAGGGAAATACAATGCATTGTATCATTGATACAAGTCATGAAAAAGTGCAAGGCAGCCTGATGTCTGAGAAGGATGCTGGGTTTTGGCTGTCCCAACCAATGTTATATGTCCCACTATGCTAATTCATAGCCTGGCCAGGTAATAATCTCCAAATCAAGTAAAGATAGGACGTTCTTAGCAATGTGGGCAGTTAAATCAACATAGATGTGTGTATATGGAGATTAGGAGGATTTAGGGAATAGAATGTTATATTTTATCCCTTAGAAGTCAATGCAAGCCCTTGCAAACTTTTTATTTTTAAATTTCATCCTAGAGAAAAATACCAACTGCAGAATAAATTTTAAAAATATTATCAGATATATGTAGTTGCATACAAAAACACTCTGAGCCAGCTGCTAGTATAATCTTGGCTCCCTTTTTTTTTTTTTTTTTTTTTTTTTTGCTGGTATCACTCGTCAGTATTTTCCACTGTTTTTTCCTGTTTCGGTGCATTGCATTCAAGCTTTGTCCTGCCTTCCAAGACTCTTCGCAACTGTCCTCCATATATGATGCTTTGTTTTATCACCCCCTTCCTGCGCTCCAGTCATGGTGCCAGTCTTATCTATCCAGTAGATCTTCATTCTTTCAGCTACCTCCAGTCCTTTTCTATGCTTTGTTTACAGCTGTACCCTTTATTAACCGATTTATGCTAAATCGATTAACCACCATCTCTTTATCCTCTGTTTTCATTGTCAATACTTCTATGCTATAATGTCCCCATAGTGTGAAGCCATTTACTGTAATTTCAGCACCAGGGTCTGAATTTGGGACAGTGACGTATAAACCCATGAGCCTTTATTGTTGAACAGCAGGACAGCTCTGTTGGTTTAAAGCCAGTGACAGACTCTAACCCTTCTGTGTCAGCTTTTTTGTGGGAGGAGAACTACTTTTGGTTAGGCTCTGTAATTACTGCAAATACAATGAACATAGAAGAATTGTATTTCTGGGGACAAGGACCTTTATATAGTTTTTCATTGTCTTATGTAGCTGGAAGATCATTTGTTTCTAACCCAGCTACTTTGTCCCTTGTCTTTTTTCACCATGCTCATTGATTCTTGCTTCAAAATGGATGGTAAGCGGTTTGGAGCGGTGGTTGTCTCTTGGTATGTGTGGAACAACACTCAGTTGAATGGCATCCTTCCTGCAGCAGGCATCTACAAACATGTCACCAATATCAATAATAATAAATTAGAACTGAGCGATGAAAACTTTCCTCAAAGCAGAATTTATTTGAAGAGTAAAGTACTTTGTAGGAACAAATACATCTCAGTAAAATGTTCAAAATGAATGTTAAATTGATTCATTTTCAATTTATATTTTCAATCAATATTTTTCCTTTATTTTATTATTGTTAAATGCACATCAATAATTATCTGAAATCTTGAAATACAAAATCCTCAGTAAATTGTTCTTTAAAACGTGTTTCATTAGTCACCCTTTTTAGGGAATGCTAACATTTCTCTAGGACAAAAGCTGAATGTCACATTTGTTGTTAAACAGACATTTCTGATCAGAACCGGCTCTGCTATAAACAGGTGGATCAGTCCTCTGTGTTTAGACACTTCTTTTTTTTCCCTAAAATAGAAACACAGAATTATTGAGGTATTTAATTTATTGAAATGATGTTCAAATAGAAGCCAAAAGTTGTTAATGGCCAAGGCTTAAAAGCAATAAAGGAAAATACTATCCTCCATTATCATCAGGGTGCTTAAATGAAATACATGGGGGAAGTATATTTTTTCAAGCAAACAATCCTCAATTAATATATTCCTGGTTTATAATATAATCCCTTTAGCGATACTGAGTTTCACATTATTAAGAAACATAATGTGTTGTCACTGAGCCCTGATGGATCCCCTTGAGAAAATAAGTGGTTTTCTTTTTCCCTCTGATTATTTTTTTTCTCTTATCTCAACATTTAGGTACTGCAAGTTGTTATGCTTTGGTGAACTGCTCCACTTTTCAGAGTCCCATTGTGATTTAGGTGGAGTTTTTGCAGGTATATGGCCATCAGAGGTCAGCTGCAGACAGACTGCTTAGTTGTTTAAACTGCTTTCTTTTATGCCTCTCTCAGTTGTCAAATGCTTGACAGCTGCAGAAACCATTTGTGCAGATTGAGTAGCTTTGTGTGGATATTAACGTAACACTATACCTACTATATCGTGTAGTGAAAACTATATGGGCATCCTCCTAGAATTGCAGGAAGCCATTTGAAGAATTGGGACACTATTTATTAAATAGGAGGTGAAGGGAGTTGTGTGAAGTAGCAATGGGTCTTTTGCCTACTGTCCTGCCATATTTATCCACAAATGCGTACCTTTTTAAATTACAAAGCTGGACTAAAATAGGGAAAAAGATAATTTAACATATATGTGTGTGTATATATATATATAAATTTCAACTTTAGTTCAAATTTGTATCTTCACTGTTTGGAACATGCTGGTTTCTGAGTTAGTTTTATACTATACTTTTTATAAACCTAACTAGATGAAGTATATGCCTTTTTTGATGTACACATAGTTGCACTTTTAAGTTTTGATAGGGAGACAGATTTTAGATAAGACTGTCTTTCAAACAGCAGGTCTAGAAATTCAAGAAACAGCACAATATTCTGCGTTTGGCTTTTGTACATGTATGCACCCTACTGAGGATAACATGCATTGGATTTCTGCTAATCCAAATAAAGTTCATGTGTTTGGAGAGAAGGGGAAGGGAGCATCAGCTACTTTGAAAATAGCCAGAAATGGCACAGGAGAAGTAAAGATTGTAAATGAAGAAAAACAGAATGGAAGGAGAAAGTTAAGCAAAGAAGAGAATTAAAAGGGCAAAGAAGTATGTATTCTAAAGAATATAGAACCAACATAAAGGAACTGAAAGGAAAAATAAGGGACTGCTGTAGTCATTTGTGGTCCTGGACATGTGGATATCTGAGAAAACTGAATGGAAGACCCTGTATTAATCATGTTCATAACTATTGTGGGGGTTTTGCATTGTCTTCCCACCTTACACACCAAATATCATAATTTACATTCTTATATCTTTAGCATCTGGAATTTTATCATTTTACCTGGACTTCTCTCTTAAATAAGCTTTTAATTGTGTTTTTCAGAGGAAAAAAAAGAAATTTGATCGGTTGAAATGTTAATAGCAAAAGGCCACCTGAAGGAAACACATTCCTTTTGTGTATTTTTAAACTCGTAATTTCTGAATATTTGAAAGTGGCGATATTTGATTTATAACTGTTGACATTAGATACTCTATAACTTATATCTCTCACTGCTTATCTTTTTAAAATGTAAGCTATACACAGGTTTTTGAAACAAATTCAGGTATATTGAACATTTAGAAAAAGTAATAAGCTAGTTGTGAAGGTGCAATAGCAAAGTTGATAAAGGCTTGTGTGAAATTATGCCTCATTCAGGTTCTTTGTGCCCCTGTTCTCCACCTAGAAAATACAATTAATACTGCTGCCCTGGTTACATCAAACTAGTTACTAGTTAGACCTTGAAATAATTTTATCAGTAATAAGGACCATATAAATGTTAGGGATGGATAGATGGATGTAAATGTTTGGTTATAGGTTTAAAAAAATTAATAGGAGCTATTTTATTGATCTGTAATTCAAAAATTGCAGGAAACAGTCTGTGTAGGATGATTCTCCTTAGTCTCCAAAATAAACCAGGCAGTTTTCCATACAGGCATTTTGATGGAGAAAGGCAGGAAGTGACTAAAAGTTAGATTTATAATGGAATATATATGGAATCTTGATTATTTTCTCTGAGGATTATAATCTTCTGACAAAGTTGGCAAGAAATGGAGTTCAGTGGAGGATTATTTAATAAAGTTCTGCTGTATTTGTGCTTGAAAATAGGGATAAAATGGAAGAAACAGTCTGTAGGTCTGTACTTGATTAGGAAATGAAACACGAAAATTAGTTTTTCCTTTAAAAGAAGGAAAAAAAAATGGTGGGAGGAGATTCTGTTTTACTTACTTGATTTAGGAATATATATGTTAACAAAAAAAAAAAAGCCCCTCAAAAATGAAGCCTAAAATGTATATACAGGTGCAACAAGATTATTGCTTTTTTGTTGTTTGATGCTTACTTTTTTCACTTGGAAGTCTACATTTGTGTTTTTAAGAAGTTTTTTGTTAAGCAGCCAAACCTAGGAGGTGCTAAGCACTTCACGTGGTATGCAGTGATGTCAAGAATTAAGATTTCACATAACCTGATGGGTTCTTGGGCTGAGCTACAGACATACCTCGAATTCTGGATGCTAGAATTGTCAAGGGTTTTGGTAGTGTTGTAAAAGCACACACCAGTTCTAAAACTTGAGTGTGAGCTCAGGTTTTGACTTCAAACACCCTCAATTGAAATGTGTTTCAAATACAGTGAGAATCCAAGGTTTTGCCTGAGTTTGCTTCACTCTTGTGTGTCAGAAGGGAAAGATGATCCTGCTTCACAAATGTCAAAGGCAAAATTCCCGTTTTCTTTAAGTGCCCAGATTGGGCCCCAAAGGTGAACTTAAATTACCATAACAATTTGAGATAAATGTATTATTAGATTGTCACAGATCAGCAGACGGGCCAGAAGATTCAGATTGTTACAGCACTTGATCAGAGCTCAGCAGGCAAGCAGTTCATCTTAACAAATCATGATGGCTCTACCCCAAGCAAGGTGATCCTTGCCAGACAAGATTCCACTCCAGGAAAAGTTATCCTGGCAACTCCAGATGCTGCAGGTGTCAACCAACTGTTTTTTGCATCCCCTGATATATCTGCACAACACATCCAGGTAGATAATCCACTTTATTTCATAATTTTGGTTCAAATGAGATAAGAAGAGATGTTTTATTTCCAAATATGTCTGTCTCGGTTCTCCTTTTTTGAGTTTTTTTTTTTTTTTAAACTATATACTTTTCCTTGAATTAGAACTCTGGATGGATACTTAGAAATTAGAAAAAAACTTTCTCTTTTTTCTTTAAATTTATTGCTTTGAAAATTTATACCCTGGCTCATGAGATTAGAAAGAATATTGTTATTTTTATTGTCATTTCCAGCTCCTGCCATACCAACAGTCCCTCTTTATTTCTGCTTCATCACTGTTTTCCTATGTTGTTGAAAACATACTCTGTTCTCCCTTGTCTTTACCTCTTACCATTTCCTTCTGCTTGTTTTCCTTTTTGTACACTGTTGTAACTACTGTTCAGCTTTCTGAATTGTTCTCCAAGATAATTTCTCCAAGAGACTATTCAGTAGGGAAGTACATTACTCAGTAGGGGTGCAAAAATAACACTAAAGGGTTTGGGTTTACTAATACGAGATTGTAACTAGTCAGGGTTGTAACTCCCTAAACTGGTCTCCAGTGTACCTTACTCCCATGCACGTTGTATGTGCTGCTTCCTTAATCCTCACCCTCCAACTTCCAAGCTTTCTGCCCCATATCCTCCCATGGCAAGGATGGGATGGCACCGATGTGAATAGTGTGAAGAACGTGCACAGAAGACCTGGGAGATGTGAGCTCCTTCAGCATGAAGTAGGAGATTACTGCACTTCAGCTAAAGCGTAGTTATTGCGTATTTTTTTACCCATGTAGATTTATGCTGCTGTTAAAATACATCAGTGTGGTAGGCCAGGCAACATTAGGATAGCTACAATCCATTTAGGCCGGTATCTTAAACTTAAATGATGGCCAGAAACAGTTGCTTAAAGAAAAATACTAAAAACTGGACAAGTAAATAACGATTCTTCTGAGCCTATCCTTTCACTCCCATGAGTTGATGATTTAGAGCAACGTCCTGATCTGGAGATTGCAGTGAGACCATCATATTTGATAGCTGCCACCAAAGTTAAACAACTTTATTTATATAGACCATATATGCTTTGGTCTATGTAATACCCTGTAGTATAACATCAACTTTAGTTGATTTGCTCTTCTGAGAGAACTATTTAATTGGGTGTCTCTTGCACTATAAGAAATAGCCACAAAGGATTCCATTGTTTTTATAAATCACTATTATATCCTCTTTCAAGGATCTTTTCAACTGAAGACCCCTGTTCTTTTTAGTTTGTGCTCTTCTGGGACCCAGTCCACTACTCTGTTTCACTACCCAGATGTTGTGCAAGCTTAAAACATAGCTCTGTATTATATATTACTTTTTTTTTTTTTTTTTTAAGCTCTCAAATCTTTGCAAATAGGCATCCAGGTTCCTTGCTCCAAATAATTTGATTGCTATAAGTAGGGGAGTAGTAATAAAAGTCAGTCTATCGAGAGGCATTTAAGCATGTTTAGTGGTATCATGCATTTTGTATTTTAAGTAAACCTTAACAAAAGTATAAACCAGATGAGAAGTGTGCCACACTGATTTAAAGAGCAAAATTCAGGTATAGGGAAAGTCCAGACAAAAAAATTAAAAGCTCCAGTTCTGGTTGTGCAGTTTGGGCAAACAAGATTCGTTTGAGAGACAGCACAGTATTCTGTCACTTTAGTTAGATTTTACTGTTGCCACTTCGTATGTATGGGTAGAGATTTTTTTTCCCCACTTAAAGTTGGTGAAATACAGACTACCATTCATTTGTTGTTCAACTGCATCCTCTTTGGGATCTTTTCATGTTTTCTCCCCTAAATGATCTTTTCATCTGCAATTTTGCCTTTGTTTGTTGTTCTTCTGTAGCCTTCACTTGAAATGCCCGTTCATATGCTTTGCAAGAAACCTTGCCTTTATTGCATCTTATCTTTACATTCTCTCATTTGGCAAGGCCTTTTTTCTCATCATCTGTTTCACCTTCAGTGATTCTTCTTCATCTTAATAATCAAGCTCTATTCTTCATGTTCAAGGTCAGTTGATGAGTTCTCCAAGTCTGGGATTTTTATGTCCTCATGGGCCAAATTCTGTATGTTGAACTTCCCATTTCAGTGCGGGTTTCATTTATGGACGGACTTAGAATTTGTTGAGAGAGAGAGATATATTTTATAAACTATCATGAAAATACATAATGTTAATAATAGAAATTAGGAAGGAATGAAATGTTAATATTCTTTTAACTCATCAATATTATTTTTCTTAAAAAGATGTTAAAAGAAAACTTAGTAGGTGAATCTGTGAGACAGTATTGTTAACAAGGGCTAACTAGAAAGAAGTAGGCTTGTTAAACGTTACTGTATATATCACCTATACTATCTTCCAAACTTTACCAAAAAAGTGATTTCTTAATTTTCCTATAGAGAATAGGGTACTTTCTTTTCCAGTAAGTTATCTTGCTTTTTATCCGAGGTCCTGTTTTGAATATGCAAAGCAGG